GGAAAAAAACAAGCAGGAAAATGAAACTTATCGCTGTCTTTTTTTAACCGACCTCAAAAAAAGTTATCGTGCGATTAATTGATTTATTGACTATCGCGACAGGCCTATTTGTCACAAATAGTCATTGGTCAATAGTCTATTGGCTCATGAGGTATTATGCTAACATACAAAAAGGCTCGGCTTCAACAGCTGATGTTAAAGTTTTATGATCGACTCAGTTAAACCAAGTTTGACCTCAATTCCTGTAAAAATCACGACTTTGAAGCATCTTTATGGTTTCCGGCGTCGGTTGGTTGTGGCGGCCATCTTAAAATAGAATGACTTTTGTAATTAAACTTGACCAAATGATCACAACAAAGAAGAATCTGAGCCAATCTGGTCGTATGTGCTGAACAGCAGCTTTTAGGTCCTTACCTGTTAAACTGCTTTCTGATCTCAGTTGTCTGACGGCCATCTTGCCTTGGGTTGAGTCCAATAGTTAGATGATGATGGACTGATTGTTTTTTTCTGCAACTTTCCTTCAAATTATCCAGTGATACATGAGATATTTTGCTAACAGACAAGCAAAAACTGCCGGTGGTAGGAAATATTTAAAAAAATGACACAACAATCATTTGTCTGAACTCTTGACATGAACGAGTTCCTCTCTGTTCTCTTGATCAATGCTTAGCCGGTTCAGACTGGAGTCCACCTGTGGGGATTAAAACCGTGACCTTGTGTGAACTTTGACATTGATTGATTGATTGAACTGAAGCATTGGAGTTTTCAGCAGAATATTTATATCACAATCAACTTTTTTTCCCACAGATTTGTTTCAGGATCTTTTTCAACAAGTGAGGAAAATGATGAAAAATTGAGAATACTTGAAAAGGCAAACCACTGTTTTAAAAGTAATGAAACCACAGAAACTATTAGAAAGACTTTGAGAAACAAAATGTGTACAGGTTGGTGCTGAAAGCTCTATAGAAACATAGAGACATGTTTTTCTTTGTTTTTCAAGTGGATCAGAGCTTTCTGCTGCCGGCCGAGAAGGAAAGTTCGGTGCACTTGGTGTGCCCCAAGGTTGATTTTGATTTGATTTCATGATTTAACAGGAAAAGATTACTAAAAATCAAGCCTGACTCAGCATAATTGCTGTTTTACAGCAGGTTCCTGTTCTGCAGCACATAAAACACTCAGAAATACAGCATCACAATCACATCATTATACACCATAGACACAAAGACAAACAAGCATACCAAATTTCAGGAAGGCAGCATTTGCAAAATAGGACATCTAAATATGAGCACAACAAAAAGTGTCCAGCAGATGGCAGACAAGATTCTTCTTAAAGGGCTGTAGTTTTGAAATGGACTTTATGTTTTGAGGAATGTCATTCCATGCTTTAGTATAAACATAGAAGAAAGACCTCTGGCCGTAACAGTTTTTAAAAGTTGGTAATGTCAGTTGTCCTTTTGTAACAGATCTAGTTGAATGACCACTTCCAGAATTTGATTTGGGCAACAATGCACAGAGAGTTCCATAATTGGCACCTTGGAAGATCTGAAAATATAAATTAATACCACTATACAAAACATAATTCTGAAAAGTCAAGGCATCAGACAATGAAAGAACTGTACAGTGATGAGTCCAACCAGGAAGGTTTTTATGAATTTTGTAGGCCCTGTTGTAGAGCCTAACTATGGGTTCTAAGATTTCATTTGTTGTAAGAGACCAAACAGGTAAACAGTACGACATGGTTGAGATATAATGGCATGAAGATAGATATTTGAAACAGAAGATGTCAGATTGGATCTAATTATTGAATAAACGTATAATTTCTGTTTCAACTTAGTGGTTAAGACTTGTACATGATCACGATAAGTCAAATGAGAATCCAAAGTAATTCCAAGATATTTGTAGGTAGTGACAATATCAAGGGGTTTGTTTAAAAAAGTGAGTTCTTTTGTTATATTGAAATGTCTCCTGGGTGAGGAAAAACCAGGTTCTGTCCTGGTAACCCCTTGTTTC